ACAGGTTATAGATCGCCAACTAGGGACCGTGGGGACATACAGTAACTTTGCTACCTGCATGGACCCTAGTTGGATTTACACCATCCCTTCAGCCGCTCGCGATTGTAGGAAAATTTAGCCATAATTCAAAATAACAAAATTATTACGTTAAAAAATGGTAAGTTTAAAGTTTAACTTTGAATGTTTAGGCACTTACGTACTCTGTCAAGGGGACAATAATGTTACGATACTTTAATCCCCTTTGAGGATACAGCCAATATAGTCCGTTTGACTTCATTTTTGATCGATGAATTGCTCACTAACACAATATCTAATACTTGTAACAAAACCAAGTTTTGCACAGTCACATGAAATCGACAGACAAACTCTGATGATTTGTCTCTTAATTTTGGACACCCGAATGACAAAGTTGTTTAACAAACGATCATTATTTTGTTGTCACTTTTCGCTATTTCTTAGGGGACCACTTCCTGGTAGAATAGTCAGGTAATCAACATGCGTGTGCAGTGAAATTTCAATCTCACACGTACAACGCACGTAGAATGTCTATCAATATATATAAGAGCTGTTAGTATGAACTTTGCTTCTGTTGTGAATATTGAGCTGTTATCTGGTAATCTAGAGGATTTTGGTCTGGATCCACAGTGGCACAAGCAACTGCTCCACCATATTTGGACCCAATTGTAAATAAGGATTTGTATATATTATATTTACATTTTAATTGATTAAATTATTGTTCATATTGTAATTCATTACTTTCATACTTTTTAAATGTGGTTAATGTTAAGTCAACCTGTGGCCTCACTAATTGCCAAGGAGGAGAAGAAAGATCCCTTCTTTGAAATGGTTTCTCCCTTATGTTGTACTATATTAAACACGGGTGCCTTCACACCTCTGTCACATTTGTCGATTTTTACGTCTTTTTTCTGCAATTCGCATCGTTCATCGCAAGTTTTCAATTATGTTTCCCAGCCAGGGCAGACCACAAGGAACCTAGCCACCCCATACAGCCAATGGACCCCAGGCACCACCGGCAACCCAGGCAGCTCAACAGGCTACCCCTACGACAGAGGCGCCGGCACAGGCCTCGTCACAGAGCTTATCGTCCTCATCATCGATATCTACAACCCCTTTATTGGCAGTGGCACAACGGGTTATGACCTCCGTGAATGTGAGTAAACACAATATTTGTTAATTGTTTCTGCAGCACACGTGTTACTTGTTCTAAACGTTTTTAATTTGTCACCTGGCTCTTTACACGCCTACTGTATATATTCCTATATAGCATATGTCTAAAATGGTTGTGTTCCTTACTAAATTGAGTGGATGAGTGAGAAATCATTGACAGGCAATCCTGTATGAACGCGTTGAACCGATGACCGGTCAATTTATGAGGTGGACACTTGAGCCACCAGTCTCCCTACTACTGTCACGGGTTGTATCACAACTGTGCAGACTGATGGCCGTGATATCAGACACTATACTGTCTTGTTCGGACACACTTGCAGACAGCTGTAATATGTCTGAAGTATTCCTGGGTGCTCAGTTAAACAGCAAACAAAGCAGAATAATTCAGCTATATTTTACATGCACACACACTTTGAATAGAGATATTTAGACAGATGATTACAGTAGGATGACTCGTCTTCTATTTGTTATGTTGCAGTTTGTTGAAGGCCGGCTACAGAAGCTGCAGGAAGAGCTTCGATCTCTCCGGGTACAGACTACTGGAGCAGGAAGACATCCAGCTGACAGCCAAGGAAAAGCCTAACAACCCAATGTGAACATGATAAGTTGTTTGATGTCGCCTAGTGTTATCACAATTCGTACATACGGCGTACATACGGTCTTCTCTCTGCATAATAAGATAATGGATTATCGACCACCTGGAAATACTCTTTGGCTGTTAATATAACTTTTAAATAATTGTAATCAGTTCTTGGAAGTTCACGCTGATTGGGCTTTTGATCCGTCTAGTCCACCTAGAATTGTTGTCCTAATATGCCAAACAAAATACAAAAATATCAAGCACAGTGGTTTTCCGTGTGTTACTAATCATGAGTACAGGCACATTATCTGTACTGTGTCCTTTTGGTTTTACAACTTTACAGTTAGCGAGCACAGAAACGTCCACATCAGCTGTTGTGACGTCGGTCACCGTAGCCACCCAGACGGTGCCAACTGTGAGAAGGAAGCGAGGAAGGGATGTTGGGGCTGCGAGGGTCAACCTCTACAGAAAATACAGGAAAAGATTTCGAAAGAGGCTAAAACATGTCAACGCAAACTTTCCATGTGCTGGATTGACTACAAAAATGCATGTGACTGTCCCTCATGAACGGATTCTGAAGTCTCTTCATTGTATTGGCCTTCCTGGGCGACTGCATGATTTACTCAAGTCTTTGGGGTAAATCATTTCGCCAAGAAGTAGGCATCCCCATGCTCCCCTCCTTGCTAATCTGTTTCCTTATGCATTGAATCAGAATGTTTGCTTGGGTTGGCAAAATCAAGACAATGTAATATGGCTTCCTCATTAAATATCGTTCAGTAACCATCATATAGCCAATTGCCTTCCACTGATTTACCCACCTGAACTTGAAATTCAGGTGACATGTGAGACCGCCTCACTGTTCCATATTTATACCTAGGCATAAAGAGTAAGAGTGACCCCTAAAAATCTTCACATTGGTGTTTACATTTTACAATTTTTCCTTTTAGCAGGATTTCAACGATGGTCATGCCACTCTTGCCAAGAAGTTCGTTCGATCAAGATTACAACTGACACGAGTCAGTTCCCTGCCTTCGACATAGTGTAGTATGGGGAATGGGGAATGGGGAACGTTACGCACGTGTTCTGTTCTGGATTAGCTGTGTACTCTTATATTAATCTCGACTTGGCCTTGAGCTGCTTGTGTTGATCGGACTCCTTACAGCGTCCCGGAGACGAAGCAACACACAGGAGCCTGGCCCACAAGGTTTATTATGTTCTGAGTGCAACATTAGTAAGCAAAACGGGGCGGTGGGGTAGCCTAGTGGTTTAAGCGTTGGCTCGTCACGCCGAAGACCCGGGTTCGAATCCGCACATGGGTACAATGTGTGAAGCCCATTTCTGGTGTCCCCCGCCGTGATGTTGCTGGAATATTGCTAAAAGCGGCGTACAACCAAACTCGGTCAGTAAGCAAAACTGTGACAGCAGACGCAAACCAGGAAGATACTGGCTGATATGAGTTGGTGAAAAGTGGAGGTAAAACATGGCATAAATACTGATAATGCTCACAGTATTTCCCACCAAAAACATTGCCTTCTTAACAGTGTTTGCACGCCAGAATACTATTACTGTGTTTGTACAATATATTTGGTTCAACCTAACACACGGTCATACAAAATTGCCATTGACGTTTTTTATCGTTTGTTTATCTGTCAGGAAAAGTGAGAATGTGATGTAGAAAGTGTTTGTGATACGGAGAATTGCATTGTGTAACCAATATCGAGTGAGTGAGCGAATGAGTGAGTGAGAGATTGTGGAAAGCTTTACGCCGGTTTCAACTTGGGACATAAACAAAATGACCCATGTGGGGAGGCGAACCTTGACCTTCGAACCATTTAAACCACAAAACCACCCCCACCGTCAATTCCTGTCAGAGAGTTTGAATACCGCAATCCGCAAGCACGGGAGTCTAATAGCTTACAGTCATCATCGTACCTTCATACATATGTTCAGCAATAACAGGCGTCGATGTACAAGTGAGTCGGTAAAAACATGTTCAGCGTGTATATTGAAACCCGGCCCTTACAGATGCGGGTAGGAATCGGTGTTCAGCAACCCATGTTGTCGTAAGAGGCAACTAACGGGATCGGGTGGTCGGACTCGCTGACATTTTTGACACATGTCATCGTATCCTAATTGCGTAGATTGATGCTCATGATGTTAATCACTGGATTGCCTGGTCCAGACTCAATTATTTACAGACCGCCGCCACATAGCTGGAATATTGCTGAGTGCAGCGTAAAACTAAACTCACTCACTCACTCACTCAATTGTTTGGTTTGGTTTGAAGCTGATGAATTATAAGAAAGGTTTGCTACTTTATGAGTGACAAATCTTGTCACTCTGGATTGACAACGGTATAAACATCTATACTGAAACGTCACATCATAATACTATAAATAAGTCGTTACCCATAAAGTAGCATAGTTTTCTTTGTGGAGCTGTTTTATCAAGAAACTGTACACATTAACAACTGACAGCCAACCACTTTCCCGAAAAATAATGGCTGTAGACTTTAGAGTGGCTTCACTCATATGAGTTTGTATTTACCGTGAAACCCTTTCCCTGTAAATGAGAGATGTTGACAGTCCAGATATTCATTTACAGCAACTCAGGCAGTGCTCGTATCGGGATATAGAAGCATGCGCTGTTGTGCACCGTTGTTGTATAGCATGTGTAAATGAGTTGCATAATGTTCCTGTTTTTATTATAACGACAATACTTTATAGCTGCCCCATGGTCCCTAGTATGGTGATCTACCCTCAGTTGTTGGCGATCTATAGCCTAGTTGTATATTGTGTTGTCCTCTATAGTAAAAATGTTTTAGATTTAAATGCTAGTTTTACATTTATATATGTGATATTCTAGTTGTTTCAATGTCCTTTGTTTACATGATTATATAATCTATTTTTACTTATTGTTAATCTATAACTTGTTTTAGTCACGATATGGCTGAAATATTGCCAAAGTGACTTTACATTTTAACTCACTCAATCACTTTATAACTGTTGAGACGACTTCCTCGTTGCACAGAAATACCTCGGTGAAATAGATAAGCGGGTATTGAAAACAAGTCAGACCGGTATTCAAGTTTAGTAACCGAACAAATGGTTTATGTTGACAGAACAGCATGTACTGAAATACGACACAGGAATCCTTTGTATACAGAGCTTGTCTCATTCACTGTGGACTATGTAAGAAACTAAGAATATTGATCCTTGACTTCACCTGAATGTATAGAAATAACATTTCACATCCTGGTCATGTTGTAACCAGTATACAAGGTAATACTACTTTACAATACTGGCCATGTATGTAGCTTTGTGTCGAAACACATGCCATATTTTGTTGAAACTTGTGAGAACACAAGTAGATGGTAGTGAGTGTTGCTGTCGCCGTCCTGTTTTGTTTCCATACGATGTGGATGCTTGAAGTCATTTTAAGACATATTTTGGAATGTGTGACGCTACAATGAAGATCCGGAACATACTGGTCTGTGTGTGGATAGGCGTTATCCGTGCAGCTATGCCAGGTAATGGTGAGTGTGAGTGTATGTGCCTGTGAAATGTCTACCCCACAATGTGCGCCTACACATACAAATGATTATTCCGTATTAAATTGAATTAATTGAACGCCTTGTGAGTCCCCCACTCATTTAATGTACATATATCTGACAAAACATGATAATCATTCGTCGTTCAGTCGTCACGCTGAACGATTCCACAAACGGGTTCAATTAATACAATGTGTGAAGCACATTCTAACAATAGGATAATATTGTATGCGTTGTCTCGGTATTTGTTATCGATTGACGTTTTTGTACAATATCATACACTGATTCAGTGTATTGTGCAGTGTATTATGTGAAAACTGATAAGCGTGGTTAGCGTCAAGATAACTGGCAACTAACACAGATAACATCATAAACTGTTCTATTAACTTTAATTATGATTCCTTTGCTTCCCCAGCTGAATTTTTACTGACGAGCTCACCAGTTACAGCAACAGACGGAGAACTCCTCACCTTGATCTGTAGCGGCTCATCTGGTTCTGTGGTAAACATGGTATGGTTGCAGAACAATACAACAAAGGTCATTACACAAAATAGCAACAATTGTATTAAGCAACCACCCCCTGTGGGGAATAATAACACCAACCGTTTCAGTGTGAGCTGCAATGACACGGTCCACAGTATACAGTTTTGTTTCAACTCCACTACAGACCAGGGAGGATGGCAGTGCGGGAAGTATGTAACCGATACCTACACATATCCGAGAAGCAGCATTTATAATATAGGTGGGTATGACGTATTCACTGTATTCATTTTATATTTTTGACAATAGAGTAAAATGTAAGCAATGTAATCATCTATTGGCATACACAAATTTAATAAACACGTCAGTGACAGACACGTGCTGTTTGAAGACAAACAACATTCTGAATAAGGATTTACACATTATCGAAGAAATCTTTGCGGAAATATATTTAATTATTTGGAACCTGTGTCTGTTTTAATTTCACTGTGTATAGAACAATATTACAAGTAATAAGATCGACTGAAATCAATGGCTATGTTCTCAAAGCATACTCATCATTCACAGATATAAACACTCGTCTCAGAAATAAGGAGGAACATGCACAAATATCAAGTCAATGACTAATCTACTTTCAGGTGTTGCAAGTCCGGTCACGTCAACTCAGTCTTCATCAACAACAACCCGGTGTATGGAGACTACGTCCGAACCTGGGACAGTGACGCCACAGAAAGGTTGTTCTCTCTGAGATGAACATATCGTACTCAGGATATCTACAGGATAACGATATCCTGATCAGTGGAGCATGAACAGTTTAAATAGGAAGTCAGACCAGACAGTAGGAGTTGTTACTGAACGATTTACAGGTCGTTACAGTGGTGAAATACTAAATTGCGTTTAAAAAGTGACATTCTTTATGTAAACATAATACTCAGGCAGACAGCTTCACTGCGTGTATTTATGTGATTATGAAAAAGTGTAACGACTCTGACATGCATGTTATCATGGGTGTATGCTGTTTCCTAATGGGAATTCTTGGAATTAACTGTAACCAAGTATATCTGCACAATACCAAGTGTTATGTGTAGTGACCTTTTAACTTAATATGTTGCACACACGATGAGATATATTGGGAAATGTCAGGCTGAGAGTAAAACGTCAAAGACTGGGTATTATACATCTATATCAAATAATACGTGAATTAATTGCCGTTTTATGACGTACTGTTTACCACAAAGGTTAGCGGTAGCTGATCCGCAACGATCGTCAAACAATGACAGCAACATTTTACTTCTTTGTTTGGTATTCTAGAAGTTGAGGAGATGAAGAATGAGGACAATATTTATGGATATACATAGATTCTAATATCGTTGTCAAGCAAGTGTTTCGACATTAAAATCTATGTCGAAGCGTCGCCTATACAGAATAAAGAATACAATTGTCCTCATTCTTTAGCTACACTTTAATCTCGTATTATGACGCCACAGTAACGTCCTCATTGATCGTCCATTATACTATCGCCCCGGGACTTTTTGTTTTCAGTTATAGATTACCGTTTTCCCTTTTCATGGTTAAAGGCTTTTAAGAACAAAAATACCAGTAACCATTTTTATGCGAAAGGCGAGTGGTTTCCTTTTGGGCCTCAAAAGTAACATGAATAAGGATTAATATACTATCGAACAAATCGTTGCTGAAATATACTTCATCCATTTGGAACAGGGGGCTCTTTCAATTTCACTGTGTATCTTAGAAAATATTAAAACAATATACTGAAATGAATGGCTACGTTCTACAAGCCTAATGCTTAAGAAGTAGGTTCATCATATAAACAGAGATAAACACTCGTCTCTCAGGTAAGGGGGAACATGCCCAAACGTCAATTGAATGACCAGTCTAATTTCAGTAGTTTCAAGCTCTGTCATGTCAACTCTGTCTTCAACAACAACGACCCAGTATATGGAGACTACGTCCGAACCTGGGACAGTGACATCACAGAAAGGTAATTCTCTCTGATATGTACATATCGTACTCGCTTCCTATTCCAGTTCCAATAATTATCTTTGACATCACAGTAAAAACAGCTAAAAACTGATGTCAGTGACAGACACGTGCCCTTTGAAAACAATCGAAACATCAAGTCAATGACCAATCTACTTCCAGGTGTTGCAAGTCCTGACACGTCAAGTCAGTCTTCATCAACAACGACCCGGTATATGGAGACTACGTCCGAACCTGGGACAGTGACACCACAGGAAGGTAGTTCTCTCTGAGAGTTTCAGTTCCTGTTCCACTGTTCCTGTGAAATATTGAAGAACATAAAATATTGATGTCTTTCAGTGGCATTTAGAAGTTGTACATTGATGTCCAAGATATTTTTATAGATTAAGCTTCTTATTAATTTCTCTCACGACGTTCCGAGACCATTCCAGGTCCCTTCTTCACCTGATAAAGGGACCTGGAATGGTCTCGAAACGTCGTGAGAGAAATTAAAAAGAAATTTAATCCATAAAAATATCTTGGACATAAAATATTGAGCTTAGAAACTGCCCTGACATTTGGGAAGATTGTCAGACTGTGTTTTTGTATTAACCATTATGAAAAGGTCGTGTATGTTGTTTCATAATGCGAAAGAGGAAAGTAAACACTCAAAGATATACCAAATTTGTGACGTATTTGAACAATGACGACAACATTGTAATCATTGGAACGTAATAACTATTATATATACGCTATTGTAGTTTTAACGACTTGCTAAAAGTAATTACTCTACCGAATAGAAACTCTTTTATGCGAAAGTGTAGCGAGGCCTCGATAATGTAACGTTTACTTGGTAACAGGTAACAATTGCTAAGGATTTCGTTCTCCTTAATTTGAAGTTAGTTTCTGTCCTATAAATTCTAAAGGTACCCGTCTTAAGAGAGGCTCAATACTCTGAATACAGACGTGCATGATGACAATCTCTTACATGCGAACATCTGTTTAGTCATTGAATTGCACTGCAATATTTATTATAAGCTATTAACCATCCATAATGGGGAACAAAGTACACTGGTCAATACAAGCATACAAAAGCAAGGCCTCTTGACGTGATCAGTGTAGAGACGATATTGCATATCAGTTAGCGATTTTATTGTCGAGAATGATATGTTGTTAGAGTGAGTGAGTGAGTGGGTTTAGTTTTACGCCGCTTTTAGCAATATTACAGCAATATCACGGCGGGTGGAAAACAGAAATGGGCTTCGCACATTGTACCCATGTGGGGAATCGAACCCAGGTCTTCAGCGTGATGAGCGGACGCTTTAACCACTAGGCTACCCCACCGCCCGATTTGTTGTTAGAAGTGATTTACACCAGTCAGTGTTTGTAGTGTAGTGACACCCAGACATAATTATTCCTACTCCAGTATGACGTTGTCGATGTTGTTAGAAATGAAAGGTCATCTTATCAACCAGGTCACTGAGTCTGACTTTCACAACCTGGGATTTATGCAAGCATAACACATTAAAAGTAAAGTAATGTAGCGCATGTTACCTCCCCCTGACATTTCAAGCTGTGTCCTTATTATATCTAGAACCACATTTGGGGTACTAATGCTCAGTGAGACCTTTACATGACATTTTCTAACACTGCAGACAGACCCGTGAAGATCCGGGTTAGAACTGATCTTCAGTAACCCATGCTTGTCGTAAGAAGCGACTAACGGGATCGGATCGTCAGGCTTGCTGACTTGGTTGACACATGTCATCGGATCCCAATTGCGAAGATCGATGCTCATGCTGTTGATCACTGGATTGTCTGGTCCAGACTCGATTATTTACAGACTACCACCATATAGCTGGAATATTGCTGAGTGCGGCTTAAAACAAAACTCACTCACTCACTCACAATCCACACATATAACCTCTCAATCGTGACAAGCTGTATCTGTCTGTGTCCTGGACCAACCATTATACTGTCTTTCAGTCTCTACAGATGACGATGATTCAGTTACCATCTACATCGTGGTTGGGGCTGTATGTGGAGGCGTTTTGCTTGCCGTCGTTATCGTGGGCATCGTGTGTATCCGACGGAGAAGACAAGCAGCCCGTGGGTATTTGTACTGAACTGTAACACAGGTTTCGCTGATATAACATTTTGGCAAAAACAGAAACAATTATGTCTAACCTAAAAGGCAGTTTAAATACTGGAAGTAATATCATATATATATTGTGCGTTTACAATCAGGTATTTTTATTGATTGTCACAGTAATATCTTGTTAACGGTCACGGTGCAGCATAACACCGAACATTTCTCTTTCCAGGTCAGAAGGAAAATATCAAAGGAGAAAAGAACGTTACGGCGTGAGTATATTACAATGACGTACACAAACATTTTACACAAAACATGGAAGCTCACGCATCCAAATTCACACACAAACACATTTGAACACATACTCACGGGGGACGGTGGGGTAGCCTAGTGGTTAAAGCGTTCGCTCGTCACGCCGAAGACCCGAGTTCGATTCCCCACACGGGTACAATGTGTGAAACCTATTTCTGGTGTCTCCCGCCGTGATAGTGCTGTATTATTGCTAAAAGCGGCGTAAAACTAAACTCACTCACTCACGGATGCTCCACGCACACAGAGAAAGGGGCTAATATATGATGCCACACGTCTCCTTCTTCTCCCACTCCCTTACAATGTGAATGTTTAAAGTTGTTTGTTGAAGATGATTTACATTGCTTGTCACACATATAAGTTATTTCAGTTTTTCTTCCAGGACTCAAGTTTATCAAAACGCAGCAAGTTGCGACATGGGTATGTTTTATCAATCATCTTATTGTCATTTGTACAACTCGATGATAAAATAACTGAATTTGGAATCAGACTGCAGGTGGCAACTGTGGTACAGGACCTCTTCTACATGGAGTCAAATATTTGTATTATACTGCCGATACTTACCTGAATAAGAGCTCCTTCGACGTCCCCGTCTCTCCAATCAACGTTATCCTTGCAATGTTTCATGTGTGATATTCCACGTTCTGTTATGAGGTGTTTTGTATATTTTAGTCGAAAATGAGTTGTATAGACGGTCACGTGATATCTTCCCTACCAACGAAGCTGAAAATCAGGAGGACGACTTCATTATGTCAGGTGACACTGCCTTATAACATGTCTCTTATAAATGTTACAATGAAGACTTGAAAGGTCGATCTGATCCCATTCTATAATTTTGTCTTAACTATACTACCGACAAAAAATAAAGGAAATGATGAAATGACAGTGAATGTGTAATTGCTCTAAATGTCCACAAAATCAATTTCGGGCGTGAAGTTCAATATCTTGGGTATCCACCATATTTGGCGACACATACACGACACCTTGATGGCATACTGTTGATTAACCTCCGGATGTTTGCCCGAGGTATTGCCCGCCATTCCGCCTGAAGAGCTACCCCAAGGTGGGCCAGATTGACGGGTGTGGGGTCCTCCGGCCGAGAACGTCCCACAGATGCTCAATTGGGGATTTGTCTGGGAACTTAGAGGGTCAGTCCAAAGTCTGTATACCCTCTCGTCGGAGTTAAGGGGTGACAACTTGGGCACGATGTGGTCTGGCATTATCATCTTGGAATTCAAACTTCCTGCCGATAATTCTAGCCAGTGGAGCCACGACAGGACAGAAAATTTCGTCAACATATCGCTGACCAGTCAAGTCTCGATTAACGATGACCAGATCCGATCGCCTGTCATGTGTAAAAACGCCCCATACCATGGCACTACCGCCCCCATACTGATCATGGTCAATAATTGCCGCTCTGGAATACCGCTCACCGCTACGATGCCAACAACGTTTTCTGCCATCTGTGAATTGGAGGCAAAACCTTGACTCATCCGAGAACATGGTGTAACGCCATTGGCGCAAAGCTGATGCTGCCTAGCCCTAACCAGTCTTTGGTGCCTATGGTGAGCTGTGAAGGTGACACACTTCACAGGCCGCCTTGCTTTCAGATGGGTTTGATAGAGTCGGTTCTTAACGGTAAATACTGAAATTCGTCGTCCAGTTATTGTACGGAATTCCCTATTGATAGCAGGTGCTGATTCGAACCTATTGCGTAGGGCCATTAATGTAATGAGACGATCTTGTCTAGGTGTCGTTGAGTGTGGTCTACCACGCCCAGGTCTCATTGCAGCCCCACCCGTTTGACGGTACTTGTCCCACAGGCTTGAAATTACACTTTTTGATTTACCCAACATACGGACAAGTGGCACAGTGGTGTTCCCCCTTGTTACGACGTAAATTGTAATAAAAACGCAAATTGTAATAAAAATTGACGTAAATTGTAATACGCATATTGTAATAAAAATTGACGTAAATTGTAATAATTTTAGTTGCGGTAAAATGTAATAAATATTTACGTAAATTATAATAACAGTTTTAATCACTCGTAAATACGCGGGTGTTTGTTTTTCGTTGCATTTCATACATCAAATAAGCTTGTTAGGGGGATAACTCAAGAAAGAAATGATGGATTTTGTTCAAATTTGGTACCAAGGTATATTGGCGAGATTCACCGACACAAGTGAAATGGAGTGACCTTGAGATAATTTTCAAGGTCACAGCCAAAATCTGAGGGTTTTGCCAATATAAAGATTGTTAGCGATAACCCAAGAAAGAACTGACAAATCTTTAGCCAAATGATCTAAAATGATATTCGGCCCTGATATATAATCGACGAATTACTGTCCTCTGTATCATGTCTTTTCGCGAAATATCTTTTGAGGTTTTGATATGTATAATTATACTGAGTCCAAAAAGAAACTTCACAAAATGTAATTTGAAAAATAATGAATAATGTTTCTCTGATGATACATCTATGTATCGGAAATGGGATCCCTATCTTTCGAAATGTTAGCAAAACCCACTCAAACCCATCCATTCGTCGTGCAAATGACGTTAGTGCCAAATCAGGTTTTGCACGTGCAGTCGATCACGTGATCTTCGCATCGAAGTTTTCTTCATATGCACGTGTTTGCATTGGCCTCAAGAATTGAAAAACACTTTTAAACCACAGTTCTAACGGTACTTGAAATGCCACGATTGTCAAATGTGCATCGTGAACGTGACGTTGGCATGTTGCAAGCGGAAGATCAGTTATTGACGCCGCAAGAGCAATGGGATGCAGCCGCCGTGCTGTGTATGACTTGGCGCAGGTCGTCTACAACAAACTGGCACCACTTCTGATCGCCCAAGGTCGGGTCGTCCCACGTGACGTCACGAGCAGAAGACCATTAAATCGTCCTACGCCACCTACGTGACAGATTTCTGCCGGCTACACGAACCAGGGCTGAGATGTTTAGAGGTCACAGACCATTCGAAATCGGTTGCGCCTGCCAATCTCCATTCTCGACGCCCATATCGGGTAATAATATTGACGCCGTTTCATCAACGCCAGCGTCTGCTGTGGGCCCAACGCCACCTCCGATGGACCCAGAGAGACTGGAATCGAAGTCGCCTTTAGCAATGAATCCAGGTTTACCCTCAGATTCACGGACGGCAGGCATAGAGTCTGGAGACGACGCCGCGGAACGGTATGCCCAATGTTGTGTACAGGAGGTCGACAGATTCGGGGGCGGAAGTTGCATGGTGTGGGTGCTTTCTGTGGGAACAACCGTTCCCGACTTCTGGTCATCCGTGGAAACCTCACAGTGCTGCTTTGCTCACCGCGACCAGGTGCTCACCCCTGATCTCGTTCCTTTCATGGCGGCTCATGGCCAAGGTCTACAGTTCCAGCATGATAATGCTCGGCCGCATGCCGCGATGTTGACACGAAATTTCCTTCAAAACGCTGGAATCAACGTCATGGACTGGCAATCGAGGTCCCCTGACCTTAATCCAATAGAGCACGTTTGGGATGCACTTGGGAGAAGGCTTCGTGGTCTTAGGAACCAACCTCAGTATTTGCAGGAACTTGTCGCTGCCTTGCAAGAGCAATGGCGCAGAATCCCCAACCACGTGTTCACAAGCATCAGGCAGTCGATGAGGAGACAGTGTTTGGCAGTGGTGAATGATGGGCGGCCATACACGATATTGAACTGAGAAATTTCGCATTTTTATTTTTTGTGGCTTGACATTCTGTATACCCATGTTTTGGAACGGCGGTGTAGCCTAATGGAACTGATTATGGCACTGTCAGTGTATCGAAAGTACATCACACAGATCTCAGCAATGAAATAATAACAATTTAACCATCTTACCATCTCTTGTTCTTTATAGTGCCCTGAAGTGAATGTGAAGTTTCTTTTTGAGTCAGTATATAAAGTGGGTGGGGTGGGGTGGGGTGGGTTTCTAACGGGTATATCAAATCAAATTAGACATTTGTATAGCGCTACATATCCAGAGTCCTGCTCATGTGTGCTTAGTCGAATGCTCGTTTAAAGAGGATGGTTTTTATGACAAGATCGGAAACTGTTGATATTTTCCGATTTTCTGACATTTTTAGGTAATCAATTCCAGAGTACAGCACCCGTTCTGCTAAATGATCTGTCTCCGTATGTTGTGGTTCGGACAAATGGAATAGCCTAGCTGACTAGCAATGAAATGCATCACAAATTAAGCTTCAGGAAACAAAATATGCAAGAAACATTTTTCTATGTTTGAGATTGGTAGAGGTCGGCTAGAATCAAACTTAGATATTAAACTGCACAAAAAGGCAATTTGAAACTACAATCGCTTGTTCAAATGACTCCCCCTTCGGTTTACTGAAAGAACTCGAGAAAGAAATGATGGATTTTGTTCAAATTTGGTACCAAGGTTTATTGACGAGATTTACCGACACCACTTGAATTTAGTGACCTTGAGGTCATTTTAAAGGTCACAGCGAAGGTGTAACAGTTTTGCACATGCCAAGCTTGGTAGCCGCGAACTTAGGAAAGAATTAATAGATTTTGATCCAATTTTATATCAAGGTGTATTCGCGGAAAACCCCCTACACCAATTGAAACAAAATATGCAAAAAACATGTTGTATGTTTGTGAAAGTCAAACTTAAAAAATTAAACTGCACAAAAAAGCAATTTTAAACTATAATCGCTTGTTCAAGTGACTCCCCCTTCATGTTTACCGAAAGGGCTGGTTTTGGAGACACTACCCACCCCCTTTCAGTTGACGTCATCAAAAGGATATAACTCATCCTAAAGTTTTCACTTATTCATACATGGTGTCAAGGGTTCAAACTAAATACTGAATGGTCACACAAGTGACAGCTCTCAATATTTTATATATCTGGACACAATGTTTTTGAAAATTTAAAATGAGGGTGTCCTAAAAAAAACAGTCCCCGTCTAAATGTAAATCAAGCAATCCAAATCATTGAATGTTGATGATGACGGGAAGTCATCCTATACTATGCTGAATATATTTTATATGATACTATCTGAGGGTATACCATTATCCAAGAGATAGCGCAAAAGTGCAGTGGTAAGGCGTCTGCCTATCACGCTGAAGGCCCGGTTTCGAGGAGGCACCGAGGTTCGGTTCCCGAGATGGGCACATTTGCGTAGTATCCTTGGACAAAATACTTAGATCTACACTGTCTCAGTTCACCCAGCTGTAAAATGGGTACCCGTGAGTATGTGCTGGCAATGTGAGTGTTTAGTTCATTGCGCCTAACAGGCAGCATGGCTGTACAGTCCCCAGGGAGTTGAAAAAGTATTGGAAACTACGATAGTGTCCTTTGATCGGGGATAGTAATGTACGTAGCGCCGTGAGCAGGCAATGTGCCTGGATGTGAGCGCCATATAAGCGGACTATTACTATTACTAGATACCAAATGGGAGATCGTTTTCCATTTTCTGCAAATTTGCAAGAAACATAATACCCAAATGTTGTGATGACTAATATCTCGTTAACCACTTTACCCACATGAAATTTTGGATATGACTTTGCTAATGATTCCTTCAAAATAAAATGGAAGCTTCTTTTCAAACATTCGACATCTAGAATATAGTTAGTTTGACTACTTTTTCAACGCCCCTCGTAACATACTTAAAAGAAAAGAGAACGTCTAAGGAAAAAAGCATTTCGATCTCTGAATACTTCTGAGCTATTTAAATACAAAAAGCAGAGGAATAAAGGAAATAATCTGAAAAGAATAGC